ACGTGTATTTTATAGAAGAGGAGTTGGATGTGTAATAATCCATCTTCCTTTTCACCTGTTTCCCACCTTCTGTAGGTGATATTGGAGTTTTTCTGTAATCTCATTATAGAAAATATTTCTCTGCACAATGAGTATGGTCTGAACATTTGTTTTATCCAGACTTGGGTGACTTGGCCTGTTGTCCAAGGCCAAGTCACCCAAGGTAGAACCCACCCCAGGTGTTAACGCGGTGAGGAGCAGAACACATCCGCCATGTTGCTGCCCCAGGACCCAGAGCACAGCTCTGCCTCGGGTTCCTACACTTGCTCTCTCCCTGTTTTGCGTGCTGCTGATTAAAGATTGTCACCTAAGTAAAGATTCACAGACACTGACTGAACTTCTCCAGCAGAACTAAGTGTAGTCCGTCCACGAGCGTGGGCTGCATTGATCAAGAGTGTGGGTGTGTGGGTGAAGGTCACACTAATGGGAAGTCCATAGCGGGTATCTTCTCAGGAGGTCCCCTGCGGGGAGAGTGGAAATACTGAATTACCAAAAGGGGGCTAGTGCTTCCTCGCTGTTTTTACCACATTGTGATGTCGTAAGGATCAATTACTATCCCGGCAGCTTAGAGAATGGTGTAGCTCGGGGGGTCAGCAAACTGCAGCTCTCAGGCCCTGGCCAGCCACGGGCCTGTTTATGTGAATAAAGATTTTTCAAGATACCGCCACCCACATCTGTTCATGTATCATCTGTGGCGGCTTTCGCACCGTTACTGCAGAGTTGGGTGGTCGCATGTGGCCCACAAAGGTGAAAGCTCTATCAGGCCCTTTTGCAGAAAACGGTGACCCACTGCTGATCTAGACAAATACGCGCGAGCTGCTTTAGGTGTCTGCATTGCACTTCTTTTTTTTTTTTTTTTTTTTTTTTTTTCTTGCGTTATGCGGGCCTCTCACTGTCGTGGCCTCTCCCATTTGCGGAGCACAGGCTCCGGACGCGCCTTGCGTTATGCGGGCCTCTCACTGTCGTGGCCTCTCCCATTTGCGGAGCACAGGCTCCGGACGCGCAGGCTCAGTGGCCATGGCTCACGGGCCCAGCCGCTCCGCGGCATGTGGGATCTTCCCGAAACGGGGCACGAACCCGCGTCTGCTGCATCGGCAGGCGGACTCTCAAGCACTGCGCCACCAGGGAAGCCCTGCATTTCACTTCTTCTTGGTCGTGTTTGATCACTGCTCCCTCGGCATCTTCCTCCTCTTGCTAAAAACCTGTGTGCTGAGCGTGTGCTGTGTACCAGGCCCCAGGAACAGGAATGGCTGCTTGAACGTTGTATCTGCCCTCTGTGGGCACGACGCCACCGGCCAGTCTCACACCCGAACACACAGTTCATCCATATACGTCAACCCCCATGAAAAACAAACGTCCCATGAGGGATAAACATAAGAAGTAAAGTCTGACAGGTTTTTAATAGGTTTTTTTCTGGTCTCTGTCTTCTAAAGTAGGAGTTCTTGAGAATTTACACGACCTTATTGAATAGCAAAGTTGAGCAGATGCTTTCATCTTTATCTTTCCTTTGATTAAATGAATATTATTCTTATTTGATAGGGCTGTACCTCTGTAAAAAAAATTTTTTTAATTAAAAACAACCTGATGGGATACATATAAATACATGTAAGCACATCGGAACTCTTTCAAGAAAGGAAACCATATATTGGGACTCGTTTTAATAACCTCAGAATTTTGGAGCCAAAGGAGATCTTTTATCGCTCAAAGTGTGTAAGTACATAGAAGATTAATTACTTGACAGCAGTGGTTTTTATCCTGGCTGATCACGAGAATTACCCAGGGAGGACCTAAGACAGTTCTCGAGCCCGAAACCCACCCCAGGCGTGAGAGCAGGAACCGTAGACGTGGCCTCACCGTCACCGTCTCCGGTACAGGCTGACGGCCCCGGGGATTCCAGGTGAGTCAGGGTGTGAAGCACTCGAGCTCCCAGGCAGGACTATGCTCCGGCCACATTTCGAGAACCACTGCTTTGTAAGATTCTTAATTTTATACAGGTAGCTAGTATGATAACTTTAAGTGGCAACTTCACATGGTACTCTTAAAAGAACATGATTTGTAAAAAGTTGATTGATCAACGTATTACACAAAATTATTGTCACTAGAAATACAGAGTAGGGATATAGGATTCATCGTCTTTCAGTGTAAGTATGCTGGGACTGCAGTTAAAAGTCATGTAGAGATCGTCGTCTAATGCAACCCTGTGTTTGACAGTGGGGGACCCTTGCCCACATCACAGCACAGTTAGTGACAGAGCTGGGACCAAAACTTAGGCGTTTTGCTTTTCAGACCAAAGCCTTTCCTGTTGACCGCATTACCTCTTGCTAGAACATATATAAGGCATCTTGCACCCTTGCCAGCCTTTGGTTGAGGCTTAAACACGGCATGCGTGTCCCCCTCAGGGCCAGCTGTCCCTGTGACTGTCCGGCTTGTTCTTGTGCCGCCCCCATTTTTCTCCTGCAGGGCTTCAGCCCACTGTTTCTGTACCTCGTGTCCCTGGCCTAGATACCGCACAGCCCATTCACTGTTTACTGGTATGTTTGTGTGTTTATCTAGAGAAGGTGGCACTTTTTTAATGCTGAGTTAGGGACGCCATACACTTTCTCTGACACATTTAGAACACCGCCAGGTTTACAAAGAGTTGATATGAAAATAGGAGAAGCATGTCCATGAGAAAGCAATTGTAAGTGATCATGAATAGCAGTGAGAGTAATGTCTTTCCGAAGCCTCCATGTTTATACTGATCCTGGGGTCTGGCTCCTGCTTATTTTTCTGCTTTGAATAGAAACTTGACACTGGGAAGCAAGGGCAGGTTAGGTTTTAGGTTGGATTACCATGAAATCCTCTTGTAAAGGGAACATCACTTTGGGTCAGAGACTTCCTGGAATTGTTGAGGGTGAAGTGTAACTTTCCCAGGCAGCTGTTTTTGAGTTAGGAATTGAGCCGGGTGGCCTGGAATGATGGAGAAAATTTCAGATTTTCCATTTAGTTGTAAAATGAAAAACGTGGTGGTTTGGTTACTTTATGTGCTCAGTTGTTTGCGTGAACTATTGTCTTTCTGTCTGCCTTTCTGTTTGTCCTTCTTTCATCTATTCCATAGACTATCTTTTTAACTTTGATTTATGGATTATATATGAAATGGTTTTTAAAAAAACCATATAGGAAAAGATATAAAGTCAAAGCACTAAGTTTCTGTAGTGGATTTGAAATTCATGTGTGTCACTTTTGCCTAGATATCTAGATTTATGTATTTAAAAAATTAGAGCAATTTGCTTATTTGCTGAAAATTACTTAAATGAAAAGAAAAAATCATAGGTAAGATAAGGCAGCCGTAGATCAGGAACCATGTCAAGTGGAGAAATGGATCCAGCCTGCTGAGTATTTACGATCTAGTCAGGGACATAAAACATACACATATAAAAATGGCAAACCATTCCAGGTAGTAAAGGAAAGCCAAGTGATTTGTCTATAGGATAAAAAGTTGGTTTGGGAAACAGAGGCAGCCAGGAGTGAAGGGGGAAAGTCTTTTATATGAATCCCAGCCCTTTGCTTTCTACCCTGAGGACAGTTTAAAAAGTCTCTCCAGGCCTCACCTGTAAACAGAGAATAACAGGCCCTGCAGGCTGTGCTGACTGACACCAGGTCGCTGGTGTAAGGTGCATGCCCAGCACAACAGCTCGGTGTTGTTGGCTTCGTGTCACAGTGCGGGCTGAATGCAGACAGTCTGGGAGCAGGGCCTTGAGTCGGACCTTTAGATGGAGAGCAGCAGAGAGGAGCTGTGGAGGGGACCGGACGGCGACAGGAGGGGACAGGAGCAGGAAGAGGGACAAGGACAGAGGGGAGGCAGGGCCACTGGCTTGAGAGGGCTGATGGGGCTGAGTGGGGGGCGAGTGAGGGACGACTCCTCAGTCTGTTTATGTGGACAGGTTCTCAGTCTTTTTAGGATGTTTTGGTCTCTTCCTACTTAAAAACAGTATATAGACTAGAGCAAGAATAGAAACCCTGGTTCAGCATTTTGCATACCTTCCGGAGAGCGTTCTTTGTCCTGTGGCTATAATTTTTTTCTCCTTACCCTCTGTTCCCACTCCGTGCTCTTATCTTACCTTCTTAACAGGTTTTCCCTCCTCTGCTGACTGAAATGTCTCCCTCCCTCTCTGGGTCTTGCTTCAGCCAGCGGCACCCCGCACGACTGTGGCGGATCTGTTTTTGCTTGTTAGGGCTACAGGGCTGTCACCTCATGCAGGTCTGGCAGGAATCTAGAGTAAGGGTCTAGGGTCTTTGAAATGTGCCAACTGGTTTTAAAAACTGTAATTCCAATAATACCCACTATGTGGTGCTCATGCATCAGAAATAAATTCTAAAACTAAAGCATTGACGGAGAGTTCAAAAACCTGTGACCAAGTGTTGAGAGGTTAAAACCCAGGATCACAAATAGGGGGCGGGGCGGGGGTGGGGGGAATGGAGCGTGTTTGTGATCTGTACAAGGTTCACCTGGGTCTCTCTAAGGAACAGTTTCCTAAATTCCAGAATATTTGGATATAGATGTTACAGGTCATCCTAGGAGGTGGTATAGACATAAAGACAGGCGGATCCCCAAAGAGTTTGTTGCAAGCTCTAACACAGCTGCAAAGAGAATGTATACCATTTGGAACATTCAAAAATGACATCAAGAAAGACATCCAGCCTCAGCCCCACCGTATGATACTAAATAAGTGTTCTGGGGGAGAATTGGCAGGGGGTCAAAGCTGCTGTCTGTTTTTTCCCTTTAAGGTCTGCATTCTTATGACCAAAGGTGGTTTTAAAATAAACCCTTTGTTACCTCTTTAAAAAATCTTTTAAACAAGAAGCTGAGCTCTCATTTAGAACATATTTGGATAGGTTCAGTGACATTACTGTTTTTACAAGCTGTGCAAAGGTTGACCGTCAGTGCCTGGTGCTTACAGAACCTTTTCTTTGCTTTGCAGGTTTTCATCTCCGTGAACTGCTTAAGCACAGATTTCTCTTCTCAGAAAGGTGTGAAGGGGTTGCCTCTGAACATTCAGATCGACACCTATAGCTATAACAACCGCAGCAACAAGCCTGTGCATCGGGCGTACTGCCAGATAAAAGTCTTCTGTGACAAGGTAAGGCTGCCGACTCGGCAGGGACACTTAGAATACAGCGTGCAAGGGGCACCCTTCCTCACAGAAGACCAGGAGCTGTTTAAGTTCAATAAGAATGTATTGCTGATAATATAAAATAGCTTATTTTAAATAAGCAATTCACGTTTTAGCCACGCAAAATCACATTATATAGGGGAGAAAAATAATCTCCTTTTGACTGAAAAACTGGAAGGGTCGATGAGCACATTTTGTCAGGTGTGTCTGATAGGGTGGCACACAGGGACTCATGCCAGCTGCACCCAATCCTTGGTGGCCCCTCAGCTTACGGGGACCTGCAGGCCACGGCTGCGGTGTTGGAGCTCTTCCTGAGCTCTGGGTCTGAGGACTCTGCGCATGTGTTATCACTGGCTCACCTCCCTCCAGGCTATTTGGCAAGTTGTCAGCCAGCTCACTAAGGCAGGAGAAAATGAGCTGTAGATTCTTCTTGACAGCAGCAGGTAGGCAGGAAGAGAGAGCATAGGCCCAAATGATGTCAGTGTCATTTCTTTTCTCTGGTATGACGCCCTTTTTTCTGGAGAAGAGGTGTGCACTTTTGCCAGGTGCAGAACGAGGGGCTCAGCTGGATTAAATCCAGAGAGAAGCTATAGGCCCACGCTGGTTTGGGGTTTACAGACAGTGGTGTCCTCAAGAACGGGGCGGAGCCGTCTGCTGAGCTAAGATTGAAGAGGACTCCGGCTTTTCTCACCAGAAGTATCGGCTGTGTTGTTTCTGCCCGTCTCCTCTTCATCCTGTTAAAACCTCTCTGTTATTAAGATTTTTAGAAGGTACTAGGAAACTGGCAGTGTATTTGCCATCAGGGGTCTGCTATCCTGGCCTGTGTTCTGGGTGCACAGAGCAAGCATGCGGCCCTACGTGGATGAGCCTGAGGCCCTCCAGGCCCAGAGGACTCCCTCAAACACCCAGGCTCAGCGATGTTTACCGAGTACCGGCCATGTGCCTGATAATGTGCTAGGTGTATTAGTCCTCTGCTGCTGTTAACAAATTACCACAAACTTAGTGGCTCAAAACTACACACATCCATCATCTTACAGTTCTGTAGGTCAGAAGTCTGACCCAAGCCTTACTGGGCTAAAATCAAGGTGTTGGAAGACTGATTCCTTTCTGGAGTCTCTAGGGGAGAACCTGTTTCCTTGCTTCTCTGCTTTCCAGAGGCCGCCCGCGTTCCTTGGCTCATGGCCCCTTCCATCTTCAGAGCCGTCCTCACACGTGCTCCTCTGGCTCTCCTGCTGTTGTGGACCCTTGTGATTAGATTGGGCTCACGCAGGTGCCTCAGGAGACTCTTCCTGTCTTAAAGTCAGCTGGGGAGCAGCCTCCTTCTCCTTTGCTGTGGAAGCTGACAGAGTCACAGGTTCGAGGGTTCAGACGTGGACAGCTTTGAGGGGCGTTAGTCTACCCACCGCACTGCTTTAACATGTGCTGCATTTTACAAATGACAAGTTATATCTGCTGTAGAGCAGGGATTTCTGACCCTAAGTCACATCTCTTTCCTTCATACCACATTCTTCTTTTTAGCCAAAAGACAAACTATTGCGATGGCCATGTTCTTTTTTTAAAAATCTAGGGATAAATTAAAGTTTTATCTGTTTAAAATTTTTTCTGGCATCTGCTGTTTCTTTTATTTATTTATTTATTTATTTTTGGCTGCATTTGGGTCTTCGTTGCTGCGCACGGGCTTTCTCTAGTTGCAGCATGCGGGGGCTACTCTACTTTGCAGTACGCGGGCTTCTCATTGCGGTGGCTTCTCTTGTTGTGGAGCACAGGCTCTAGGCACGTGGGCTTCAGTAGTTGCAGCACACGGGCTCAGTAGTTGTGGCTTGCGGGCTCTGGAGCACAGGCTCAGTAGTTGTGGCACATGGGCTTAGCTGCTCCGCGGCATGTGGGATCTTCCCGGGCCAGGGCTTGAAGCCGTGTCCCCTGCACCGGCAGTCGGACTCTCAACCACTGCGCCACCAGGGAAGCCGTCCACTGGGCTTTTGAACATGTGGACTGAGGCCCCAGTAACCGTGTTCATGTCTGATTTCCGTGTCAGTTCTGGGCTGTTTCAGTGCTTTGGTCATCCTCCTCACTCTTGGTCTCCGGCCTCCCCGCATGCCTGGCATCTCACTGGACACCAGACGTGTGAGTTTTACCTTGTTGGGTGCTGGATGTTTCTGTCATCCTGTGCATCTTCTTGAGCCTTGTCCTGAGATCTAGTGAAGTTCCTTGGAAACAGGCTGACCTCCCCAGATGTCCCGTTTGCCGGCTGCTGGGCGGGTCTGGAGCAGCGCTCAGCGTCAGGCCGTTCTTCCCCACGGCTGAGACGAGCTCTTCCTGGCTCTTCTACCCAGTGCCCGTGAATCGTCCATTTTTCCAGTCTGATCGCTGGCATCAGGCGCCGCTTCCGGCCCTGGCCTAGTCTTTTCAGATGTTTTCTGCTCCCCGACTGTGGGTGGCTTCCTCACACCGTGCGCTCTCGGTGCTCTGCTGAGTGTGTGGGGCCCTCTGAAGACATCCAGGGTTCTTGCTCTCCCAGCTTTCCTCTTTGCCACTTTGCCTGCCGCCTTGATCTCTCTGCTTCGCCTCTGCCTTCTCATTCCGAGGAATCTGGCTCGTGGAGATCCCCGGACATCCCTCCCTGGGCCGCAGCCTGGAAACTCTGGAGGGTGCTCAGCACCTGGGGGTCTCGCCTCGCTGGTTTCCCGTTTCTAGGGAATTGCTCTTCTTTGTTGCCTGGTGGCTGGGGCCTTCAGAATCCTTGTTTCATGCACTTTGTCATTCTGCCAGTTGTTTCTGAGCAGAGGGTAAAGTTTGAGTGGAAGCAAAAGCCCCTTCTCATTCTTTGTAGATGTAGCTGATAAATAAGGAGGAAAGTGTTCTATTTTGTAAAACTTCCTTTTAGGGAATATAACTTACCATCTACATGAAGTTATTGTTAGACTGTTAGAAGGACCTGAGAGATACCGACCAACTCCAGTTGGTAACTCGAGGGGACTGGTGATGTCTGCCTGTTCTCCTCTGTCAGGGAGGTGATGTTTGCGTCAGCATCACGTAGCAATGTTGATAAGCAGGTTGTATGTTTACTGGTACATTACTGGAGCAACACCTTCTAAAAGGCAGAAGGGGGTTTTGTATTCCGTATTTTAAAATGTGGTTTTGTTGTACAGTCGTGCCAAAATCAGTGGGATGATTTTTACTGCCTCTCTTTGCTATTAGGGAATTTATTTACAGAAAAGTAAGTCACCTTAAGTCAAGTAAGTTCATACCTGACTAACTTTGAAAAGAAATCTACGTCATCCAGAAAAAAATGCCAGTAGGTCAAGCAAAATGACTAACGAATAGTTTTGTTTTTATTGCACTTGCTTGCTTACTTTCAGGTCATGCTTGTTACTAACAGGCTTGTGGGTTCAGCTGTGTGGCAGTGCCGTTCTCTGTGTGGTTGGAGCACACTGTGTACATATGTCCTCTTTGTAGGCCTGGGAGCATACTTTTTCTCTCTTAGGTGACTGCAGATTTCTAGTTAACTGTTTGCTTTTGTGAGTCACAGTTGGTCCTATCTGTCACTTAGTAGATGCCAAGTCCTTGGACAAAATCACAGTTTTCAGTGACCACATTGCCCATACAGGAAAGTACACTCAAAGCAGGGTTAACTTGTGTTTTTTCTTTCATTTTCTCGTTAATAGACAATGAGAAAAGTCACTTGTCTTTGAAGCCAGTGTGTGGTACATTAATGGATTTTCTTAACTTTCCATTTAACCTGGCCACGTCCATTGTTGAGGGGAATTTTGCTCTATTTGTTTGTTTTGTTTTGTTTTGTTTTTTTGCGGTACGCGGGCCTCTCACTGCTGTGGCCTCTCCGGTTGCGGAGTACAGGCTCCGGACGTGCAGGCTTAGCGGCCATGGCTCACGGGCCTAGCCGCTCTGCGGCATGTGGCATCTTCCCGGACCGGGGCACGAACCCGTGTCCCCTGCATCGGCAGGCGGACTCTCAACCACTGCGCCACCAGGGAAGCCCTATTTGTTTGTATTTTGAATAAGTGTTTTCCTGTGATTTCATATAGTTAAAAATAGTTTTAAGAATGGGCTTTTTAGAGGAAACTACTGTGATGAGCTTCATGAGTATAATAAGCAAATGCAGCTCATTTCCAAAGAGGAGATGTTTTCCCCCCATAGGTCAGGATAAGAGTTAAATATTTTCAAGAGGATCAGATAAACAGAACCATGTCTTGTCTTCTCTTGGCCTAGGGAGCTGAACGGAAAATCAGGGATGAAGAACGAAAACAAAGCAAAAGAAAAGGCAAGTGTACTGACCCCAGCTCCCAGTTGAATGCCTGTAAGTAGAAGTGTTTTCACCAAGCATTTTAGACCTTTTCCATTCAGAACAGTGACTTGAAGGTTTCGAGCAGAAGTTAGAGTAGTGGATATTTTTTACTGCTGTGAGGTGGTAGCTTTGCTTCCTTTAACCAGGTACAAGGACAGATGAGGGCTGAACTAAGTCATTTTCTGGGGAACTGCAGGAAGGATTCCTGAGTTTCTCCAGAGTTCAGACGATTTTGGCTGTCAGTTCTGGTTCAGGTTGCTGCCTCCAGTCCTGAAAAATAACACACAGTCCGCCCGAATAGCTCGTGATGAAGTTGGAACTTGTCTAGGTTTTTAAGAATAACACCCTTTGGAATTCAGGTTGTCTTCATTCCAAATGAGTGTGGTGGTCTTATGTTGAGTATTCTGACATTTGCAGAATCTGTAGGGCTTCTGTTTGGACATGGCACTGGGAAAGCTTTTTTTCTTTTTCTTTTTTAATGTGACCAGCATTCATGTTCACAAAATCCTGTAGCTTTCAGCTAAAAGGAAAAAAAAAAAAAGCAAGCTGCTCTGTGCAGGCAGCCCTTCATCCACAGTCTGCGGGCGACCGCACCTGTCCTCTTCGTGGCTGGCGCCCAGCAGACGTGGCCTGAGTGCAACAGTCAGGGCTCTCTCGCTGGTGTCACGCTGCAGCCTCACGACATCACTTCAGAGAGCAGCTAACTGGCTAGGAAAGCTCATCACGAAGCACCGCAGGGTGGGGGATGATGGAGTCTGTAATTCAATTAATAAGAGTTAGAAAGTCATGCTGACTCTCAACCTCCCTGAGGTCCGGTTCTGAAGATGAGGGTCTGAAGTTGAGGTTCGTGTTCTGAATTCAAGCGTACATCGCTGTCAGAACAGATTATCTAATGAGGAGAGCTAGGGTGAAATTACTTCCAAATTATGTTTATACAGTCGTAAGTTTTAGCCTTTCAGGCAGAAACTAAGCATGCTTTGCCTCTGTTCTGGATCTTCTGGTTGTGTGTGTCTGTGTGTGCTTAAAGATGGCTTTCTCTCTCCTGATTTTGATAAGATGTGCAATTGATTTTAGTGCAAATACGAACAAGCTGTTCCTTCACATAAGCTGTGATTTTTCTCACCTCAGGCAGCACGGCCTGTATTTGATATTCTTCTACAATTTAAGTCTCTTAGACAGTGAGGAAAATGCTCTGTGGCCTGCGTCCAGTCTGCGTATGTAAGCTGTTGACTGTGGTGTCCTCATATTTTTTTTTAAGTTTCTGACGTCAAAGTACCGCTGCTTCCCTCTCACAAACGAATGGATATCACGGTTTTCAGGCCCTTCGTTGATCTCGACACGCAGCCTGTCCTCTTCATTCCTGACGTGCACTTCGCCAGCCTCCAGCGGGGCACTCACGTAGGTAACCGGGATCCCAGGGTGGCCGCAAGGAAGTGAAACTCCGCAGAAAGTCTTTGGCATTGTTCATGGCAAACAGAAGCCAAAACTTCGTGAGGTCTGGCCAGTGTTAGGTGTCAGCTCTTTGGAGTGTTCGGTTTGGGCAACATGATGTCCATGCAGTCAAGTGTGCGTAAGCATTGTTGGTGGAACCACAGTACAAGACCCGGCAAGTTAATTCTGTGTGAATTTATCTATTTGCATCTTATCTTATTTAAAGGATACTGGAATAGTAACAGAATTTGGAGTTTGAGTTAGTGATCCTGTGAATTTAACTTACATGGGTCTGGACAGGAGGGAAAAGCCAGAGGAATGCCTGGGGTGGGATCCTTAATGGAATAAAGAACATGTGAGGGCTCTCTCGATGGTTTAAGTTAGGGAATCATCATTGGCACATGTTTGGCTGTGTTTTGGCGACTAATGTGAAATTTAACAAACACGCAGTCAGCTTTGCTTGGAGCAGAAACTCAGTGGAGGTAGGAACTGGGTGGAGTGGAGCGTGCCCGCCAAGCTGAGCTCACAGAGATACCCCAAAGACATCTGCTGTGCGCTTTGTACACAGATTCCTACAGACAGATGAGTTTTCAGAATTCTTCAGGAAAGTCACTGCCAGTGTCTTCAGTTTCCAATGAGAAGTTTTGGGGTGAGCAGGGGTCAGCAGTCTTGTGCTGTAAAGGGTCAAATAACAAACATTGTAGGCTTTTGGGGGTCAGACGGTCTCTGTTGTGACCACTCACCTGTGCCACTGTGGGGTCAGAAGCACCGTAAACGCTGCGCCATGAATGGGTGTGGCCGTGTGCCAGTAATAAGCAGGCACGGGGCCAGGCTTGTCTCGTGGGCTGTAGTTTGCCAGCCCCTGAGTTAGAGGAGTTCAAGACATCCCCAAGAATCTGGGCATTGAAAAATAAGGCTAGAAGATTTTGTATGAGATTGGTCACATTCAAAATTATTTTCATTTTAGGAATAATTCATTTAAGGTCTAAAGTATTTTGGCATATTCTTGAAAAGCAATTTTTTTTTTTTTTTTTTTTGGTCTTAGGTCCTTCCCATTGCCTCAGAAGAATTGGAGGGTGAAGGGTAAGTTTTATGTTTTGTTTCAGCAAATTCTTTTTATTTTGAAACAATCTCAAGCATATAGAATAATTATAATACAAAGAACTCATTTTCTCCTGAGCCATTTGAGAGTAAGTTGCGGACCCAGTGACCCATCCATCATTCCTAAATACCTTGGTGTGTGTTTCCACACATGAGGATGTTCTCCTGCGCAAAGAAGTCGGGATATTGACGCTGAGACCTTAGTACCATCCAGTCCATGTTCCCATCCAGGCTTTGCCAGTAGTTCCAGTGATATCCTTAATGGCAAGAAAAGGTCCAGTTCAGACTCGCACAGTGTATTCAGTTGTCCTGTCCCCTTAATCTCCTTCAATCTGGAGCGGCCTCAGTCTCTCCTTGACTTGCCTGAGCTAATACTTCGGAAGGTTACAGACCCGTTGTTTGGTAGGGCATCCCTCTGCCTGGCTCTGTCCTTCGCTTCTTCCTGGTTGGGGTAGATGATGCGTCTTGGCGGGAACGGCACAGGCAAGGCCCTGCCCTCAGGGTGTCCTGTCGGGGGCACACACTTCCAGTGCCCCCGCGGCTGCTGGCGCTCGCTCCGACCGCCTGGCCCGGGCGGAGGCTGCCCGGCTCCTCACTGTGGGGCTGCGCTCCTCCTCCAGTAAGTGTTTTGAGGGCAGGCGCTTTGTGGCTTCGTACGTGTCTCGCGCCTTTGCCCCACTTTGCGTTTCTTCATTCACGTGTTTATATCAGTACGGACTCGCGGTCTCTGCCGACACTGTCCCCGGGCTGCGGGGTCCCTCAAGCTTGCCCCTGGATCCCCTTGGCACGACCCTCCTGTCCTCACTGCTTGAGCACTCCCTCACTTTCAGGCAGAGTGCGTCCCAGGCACTTGCGTTTTCCCTTCTCCGGCCCTCAAATCAGCCCCTTCTCCAGGAAACCCTGGTCCCTCGTGGAGACTGGGCTTTAGAAACCCAGAGGCGGCCTCGGGGTGCGCTTGTCGCTGTTGAGGTGTTGCCGCTCCCCGCACCTGGGGGCACCCTCCTTGGCCCACACCAGCAGCCCTCCCGCTCAGCACTCTACCGTGTTGAGGGTCCAGTCCCCCTCTCTGGGCGATCCTGGCTCCCCGTGCCCACCCAAGTTGGCCACAGGCCTTCTCTCTGCCTCTTTAACTCATTGTGTTCTCAGACATAAATCCTGCAGGTGCTTTCGTTGGAGGCCTGTTACGTGCCGGAAGCTGAGACGGAGTATCTTAAGGGCCAGCCTCTATATTTGAAGTGATGACTCTGCTCAGAAGCAAACACTTATTCCATTTTCAGTTTTTTTTTTTTACTATTTTCTTGCTCACCTACTCTGAACCTCACAACGTTGAACACCGCATAACTTGTGACTTTGAAAGCCAATCCCTCTGGTCTTTTCACTTCTTTCTCCAAACGTACTGTAAACATTTCCCCTTTTTATTTCCGGTGACACTGCTGTATTTTAACCCACTGGAGTTTTATGCTACGATGGTCTCCAAAGTCTTCCAACTGGTTCTTCTGCTTGTAGGTCCTGGAGTCCCCTCCCATCTCTACCACACACTGATTACAGCATTCTTGTCTCACAGAACTTTCAGACTCCCTGATAACTGCAACGTAAAATCTAGAATTCCTCAGAGCTGAATGATCAAGATTTTCCAGATTAGATTTATCTTCTTCTGGAACATTCTGTTTCAGCCAGCCTGGCTTTGCATTTTCCCGCTCACACTTCCTCCCTTTTTTGACGTGCCCTCTCCTCTGTTATATCGCCTTCATGTACGTCTCAGATCCCACCTCCTTCATAAGTGTTTTCCTGAATAGAAACTGCGTTCCCACACCTGCAGCTTGAGCTGTGTAAGAGCAGCCAGGGTGTCTGGCAGGTGCCTGAGTGTAGTCCCAGCTCTGCCATTCAGTAGCGCGAGCCTGGTTCACTTGGCATCTTTCCTTGGGCCTCGGATTTTCATCCACAAAATAAGGAAGCTGGACCAGATAGAGAACGAAGGTCATTTTAAATCTAAGATTCAGCGATACACCCCCAAACTCCTTTTGTTTCTGCAACTGATTTAAGGTGAAGTCACTAATTGCATACTTCGGATCACCTGCAGGTCTAACTTGAAAAGGGGACCTTATGGCTCGGAAGACGATTTTGTGATCCCTCCTCCTGCTAAGCTGAGCCGGGTAGAAGAACCAAAGAGAGGTGCGTTGGTTTACATTTCCTAGTGGGAGTTTTCAGTGGGAAGTGAGCTCTGAATTTGTCAAAAGCATACACTGCTCAAACAGATCTCATCAGCGTTGACTTCCTTGGGTGTTCCTCCGTCAGACCAGGCCCTGGCTTGAGCTGGGACCTCCAGCAGAGTTAAAAGAAGCTGAAAGCTGTGTTCCTTAAGACAGATTTTATATCGGTTCGTGTTTGCTGTCCTTGATGTGGACGTCTCCTGTTATTTTAGCCAATACCCGCGGTCTTTTCTCTAATTTTGCTCCTGTTAATGAAGTGCACTTTTCTTTTTCCCTCCTTATTCCCAATTGGGGGTCAGTGCTGCTCTATGTGCGAAAGGAGTCGGAAGAAGTCTTCGATGCCCTGATGCTCAAGACTCCGTCTTTGAAAGGCCTGATGGAAGCTGTAAGTAGGAGGAACTTTGTGGTCCTCTTTAAAAAGTAAAAACAAACTTACATAGAATTTGACTGGAACAAACCTTACCAGACCATCCGGATTTGTGTGTGGTACTGAAGCCTTTCCTGAGTCCCAGCGCCCTGTCTGTGGCTGCAGCACGTGCCACGTTTTACCCCACGTCCCAAGGTCCTCAGCGGCTGCAGGGCTGTCCCCACCTCAGACCGCTGCACCCAGCGCACTGGCTGGTAGATAGTAATCACTCAGCAATGTTCTAATCCTCTGAATCGAGTGAATTTGTGATGACCTATGGAATAGTTTAATTTTCATAGACTTGGTTAAAGGGAGATTGCCACTTAAACTACTTAGAAGCCGGCGAAAGTTAATTCTAGCGAAAAAAATCTTAAAAACTTCACGCGTAAAACAGTGGCTCCTCGGCCTGCCTTTGAAACTCCTGATCTGGGGCGTGACCGAACTTGTGTCAAGATCTCACTCAGAGCCTATTCGTGAAAATGTAGACGTGTGACCAGAGACAACCACAGCCCCTCCTGCAGGATCTCAGCAAAGGGCCCACAGCAAACTGACCCCAGCCTGCCCTTAAGACATCAGAGAGAGATGTGAGAAGGGTGCCATGCTGATGTGAGAAGGGTGCTGTGCTGATTTTGGCTTTGTCCCAGGGTGAAATTCAAGGAATCAGCACTGTGTCTTGATATTTATCAACCTCGGCCCCTGTAAATCATCGGGATCTTTGAGCTCAAAGCACGCCCATAACTGGGCTGGAGACAGGTTCCTCCCGGCCCCCCCACCACCACCCCTGACTACTGCAGTGTGTTGGATTCATTTAAGAAACATTTGTTAAGGGCCTGCTTTGTGCCAGGCACCATTCTGGGGCCCTGGAGTTAGAAGGGTACGTGACAGTGCCAAATGGAGCTTAGATTCTAGTTAGGAAGATAGAGACAATAACGTAAACGAAGACATTACTGTGTAATTTGCCAGGTACTGATAACTGCAATGGAGAAAACTAAAGCAGGGCAGCGGGACAGAGGCTGGGGGCGCTATCGCTCAGCCCCTCAGGGAGCTTGGCGTTCACAGCGGCTCTTAGCCCGTTCCTGCCACCCGTAGCCCCCTGCTTCCTGCGATTTCTCCTGGGTCCCTCTGGCTAACCTTGTCTTCTGACGGCCCTTCGTAAGAATCACGCAAACTCTTGATTATGGGGAGAGGAGAATGTGAAAAAAAGACTCACTATGCCGAATATAACTTGTTCACAACTCATGAGGAATTCATTACAGTCTTCCATCTCCTGGGTGGGGATTCCATAAATATACAAAGAATTACTATCCAGTGATACAGAAAAGAAATGAACTTGTTTGTATGATGGGAGCTTGGATTTGGTTTGAAATGTGTATTTTTGTTAGGCTGAAAGTGATCTGAAGGTTGGTCTTCTGAGCCCCCGTTTTCAGGGCCCTGGAGCTGTGCTTTTCAGAATGAGGCTGGGTGGGCAGTGACCCCAGTGTGGGAGTGGTCTGGACAGCAGTGCAGACAAAGCGTTTGATCTGGACTGAATCAGCTGTTTGTCCTGCAGTAATCCATCCCCTTCCTGTACAGATAGCGCCTGTGCCCTGAGAGGAAAACCTCCAAAGTTTGTACGGTACTGGTTTCATCACACTCTGTGGACCACCCATTGGTCATGAAGGGAGGAGGGGCCACACGTTGGCCGGAGCCTCGCTGCCCTCTGGAGAGGCTCTGGGCAGCCCTGGCAGAGGTGCAGGCCTTGCTGTGATCAGGGCCTTGGTGTTCCTTCTGGGCTGTGGGATGTGAAATCGTTTCTTTCCTTCTCATAATTCTGTACCCGAAATTAACTCCTGCTTTGTGCTGGACACGTTTTAATCCCACAGCAGTCCTGGGGTGGGCGAGGTGAGATAAGAGGAGGCTGAAGGTTAGAAAGGTCACCTGCCAATGGAAGGTGAGTCAGAACTGATCCCACTTAGGTGTGTCTGACTCCAAAGCGAGGCCTTTGTGTGCTGATTAGAGTACCTGTGACAAGATGGATGTGTGTCATTGTACGCTTGTCAAGACCTGTGGACGTACAGCTCAGAGAGGGAACCCGAGTGGATGGTGGGCTTCAGTTCCTAATGGCGACTGAGTCGCCACAGTGTCGGCTCAATCACACACAACAAGTGCAGCACACTGGTGTGGGGGGGCAGTGAGCAGCTCTGTACTTCCCGCTCAGTTTCTCTAGAAACGTAAAACTGCTCTGCGAGGTATTAATTTAAGAAAAACTATGGCCATATAATAGACTTACGACATCTGTAATCTCGCGAGAAATAACAAACACCCGATTCCAGCTTTCTCCAAAGGCAGGTAACACCCCTCCCCAGGATACAAACGGGCTGTCGTCTGTGTCTTTGCATGTGCATTTGTGAAAAATGGAAAGTCGAGTGTCTGTACCACTATATTAATATATATATTGTTTGTTTTTTCAGGCCATGAAAACAGCATTTTGTGGTTATTTTTCTTTTACTCTTTCAGATCTCAGACAAATATGATGTTCCCCAAGACAAGATTGGGAAAATATTCAAGAAGTGTAAAAAAGGGTGAGCAGTGACTGGCATTCTTAGTGCCTCTAAATAGTGTTAATGTTATATAACGTTCACGTTATTCACGTGCATTTGCGCCCAAAGAACCAGTTACAGAAGCATCAATGCAAGAATGTATTTTTTCTTACTAGATTATCCCATAAAGTTGATTTACTTTTCTAGGACATTTTTGTGGGCTTTTTTCAAGTAGAGTCTTTGTTCTTCCCATGCTTGGCTGCAGTGCAGTGGCTCCAAATTCCAGAACACGTGATGAAATTTACTAAGGATGACAATCGTACCCCGTTTATTGAGCCCTGTCGTGAGTCAGGCACTGGACTGGGCGCTTGGTGTGTTATTTAATTCTCATGTTACCCTAAGACAGGCACTACTACTCATAGTTTTTAGACGAGGCAGCCGAGGCCCAGAGAGCCTGAGAGGCTTGTCCAAGAGCAGGTGGTGAGTTAGTGCCGAGGCCATGACTCGAGCTCTGTTTTGACCGACTGCAAGCTCGTGTTTTGACCGACTGCAAAACCTTTGCCCTTCCCACTCCATCCTCCTGCCCTGGATCATGTTTTCAATGGCAGAATGTTGCTTCTTTGTCCAGAAGTTAATATTTTTAGTACTGTTTTACTTAAGCGTCTGTGCTGTGTGGCGTGGGTAAGCAGGGTATAGAATAAGAATTTTTTGGCTTAATTCTAAAGCAAATGGAATTTTCTAGATGGGCCTAGTGGGAACGGTTGGACTTGATAGTAGGAGTTCAGCTAAACTTTAAGGGTAATTAAATTAAAGGGAAGATAATTTGTCAGGGAGCCCTGGCTTCAGATCATGTAGGTTCATCTTACTGATGTGCTTTCGAAAGCTGGACCAATGAAGTGCTCCTCTGTAGACTTATTTTGTTCATTATAATAAATGCTGTTTATTGAATGATTACTGCATGCTGAAATAATAACAGTAGCTAAGCTAATGTGTTTTCTTTATCACATGCCCTGCATGGCAAGTGTTTTACTTGAGTCCCTCGTTTAATCCCGACAATAATCTTACAAGGTGGGCACTACTGTTACACCCGTTTCGTAGATGAGGAGGTGGAGGCATAGGGAGGTTTCAGCAGTCGCCTCCCGCATCCTAGCTAGTAAGGGGCAGAGCTGACGGTGAAGGCTGGGCCTGCCGGCAGAGCGGGCAGCACTGAGTGGGTCTGTCTCGGCTCCCCTCTTGCAGGATCCTGGTGAACATGGACGACAACATCGTGAAGCATTACTCCAACGAAGACACCTTCCAGCTGCAGATCGAAGAGGCCGGGGGGCTGTACAAACTCACCCTCACCGAGATCTGAGGGCGCCCCGGCCCACGACTCCCAGCGAGCTCAGGGAAGCTGTCACGTGGGCCTTTGGGTTGGCAAGCCGCAGGTTCCCCGGTCGGCCACCTTCCAAACGTGGGTGGATGTCAGTGGAAGGGGTTCCTTTCCAGTTGGAGATGGCGCCGCGGTTGGCTTGGAGATAGCATTGACTGTATTGCATTGGCGTTTTTCAGATGACAGAGAAAGCATGTACCACGATGTTTGAATTTTCTGATATAAATACTTAGCATTAAAAGTGAAAACTTTGTTCCAAGATTTACTAGATCACCTGGGAACCTTAAGGTATCTGCTACGTTATTTATAAAAATATTTTCTCTTCAGTGCTAGTGGGCCCTGCTCACTAGTGCACCTCAGACTCAGTGTAACTGTGACCGCCTCAGGTTGTGGGTGCGGCACCCCAAGAGGACCAGGTGCGCCCTTTCTCCCTCGGCCTCTCATTCCCCAGTAAATGTTTACTCCAATAGGGCAAGTTACTGAAGTCTTCCTTTGCAACTCTCTCCAACATATCAACTGCCTCTCTCATGAAGAACCTAAACGGTTACAGTGTGCGTCCGTCAAAGCTAAAGCTGCGTGTATGTAAGTGCAATACGTCTTGAAGGCCCGTGTCTGTAAATGTGTACATACCTGTCTTATATAAATAGATAATATATACATGTGGTGTCCGTGTACATATAGTGAAGAGATGTGATAAGGGCTACCTTAAAGACTTTCTTGAGACGAGAGGGTAAGTTATTTTCGATCACCTACACCCAGCAGATAGCATACTGCGCTTAGTGGAACCCACTCCTATGCTTTCTTTGCGTTTTCCCAGACACAGCAGTTATTCGGTAGCATAGCAAAACCTTCTCAAACGACAGAGATTCTGTTTGCTCTTGCAAATGTTATTATGTGGATGTCAGCACTGATTAACAAATGAAGTAAAGGAAAAAACACTGCTGCAGCTCATGACTGCTGTGTCTGCTAGTATCAGTCAGGTGGACCTGACAGAGGGAATAAACACAGTAATCGTAACACGTACTGTGGTTACTGTGAACCGGTGACACAACTCAAGACGGAGTTCTTCCTGATCTTCCTGTTATGAGAAATGACTTCTGTTTTATCATGTTCCGGAACCTTCAAGCTTTAGTTGTCTAGTATGCTAACAATTCTAGAAAGCATTCATGAATTTATGAGACTGTGTTACTATGGCAGGGGAACATTTTGTACACAAGTTGAAATACATAAAAATCCTAAAAAGTGTAATTTTGTAACGGAACTAAAACCGCAGGTACCTTTAGGCTGAGGGAGGTCGGTTATTTGTATAAGTAGGGTTGATAGTTACATTCTTACCTTAAAATATTCTAATGAAGTATGTGAACTAAATTGCTGGTTTTCTAAGATAAGATATTATGGGACACGGGTCATATAAACAATATTTTATATTTTGTTTTATGGGATCAGTTTTGTCTTGTTTTTAATTGTACAATTGAAGATGTATGTTAAACCAAAGGGATTAAATTTTATATGTCTATTTCGTAATATGTCATTTCCTGTTATTCACTTTGACTTTTTCCTTTCATTAGTCAGTAAAGCAAAATCTGAGATCTTAAAATAGTAGAGCTGAAAAGAATCACCTTAGCCTTTTCTCCTTATTTCCCAACATGTGTATTTGGGTCTCTTCCTTCGTCTTAACTTTCCCTGAGATGGGTCTGACATGATCCGAGCAATTGTTAACTGAGGGGCCCTGAATTAGTTTTCAGCTACTTCCAAAAGTTAACCACCAAAGCTTAAGAGAAACGCTTTCAGACCTAAAACCTTAGTGTTCTTGGTTTTTAAAAGCTTAACAGAAAACGTCTGTTCCCTGGTGGTCCAGTGGTTAGGACTTGGTGCTTTCACTGCTGAGGGCCGGGGTTCCATCCCTGGTCGGGGAACTAAGATCTCATAAGCTGTGCAGTGCAGCCAAAAAAAGGAATAAAAATCTACCAGTAATGTCTCAGTTCATCAGAATTTCTAAGTCAAACGGCTATTGTAAGCATATGCAGGTAATCCAGGGCCTAAATGTGATAGACACTAAAATATATTTCTAGTGAACACATGATCACGTGAAGGAAGTAAACTCCCTGATAGATGTCCTGCAGTACCTGTTCACCTTGCACTCTAATCCTTGGGCCACGCGTCAGAACTTCTGAGGTGCAGACTCCGCTCCTGGTCACCCAGCAGCTCCAGAGCCTGTGGGCTGAGGCCCACATGTCCTCTCCCTGCGGGGCCTTCCTAGACCCCTCTGCCCGGTCCCCTCACACCCCCTGCCTTCTCGCCTCTGGGTTTCTTTCTCCCTTGGTCACTAGCTCTTTCTTTTGCCTCAGAGCTTGGCTTTGCCCTGGAGGCGAGGGGCTTCCCCAGGTCTCCACAGTGGACGCGCCCGGGTCGCCTGGCCCTGCACTCCTGCGGCACATTGTGACCCAAAACTGCCTCTCATCTCCCTGGATCACCGGCACCCAGCCTGGTGCTGGTCACGTGGTAGGCGCTCAGTAACTGATTTTGCAACGATCAAGTGCCAAGCCGGTGCCCTTGACGAGCCCCATCCCTTGCAAGACACCATCAGGGAGATGGTTTAGAAGTTAGAAGCTCAGAGCTGAGCGAGGCTGGACCTGGACCTGTAGGGACAGAGTGGGGGTCGTTCGCTTAACCTGGCGGCAGTCAGGAAGGCAGAGCCGCTGAGGCCATCGTGGGGAAGGGGTCACAGGAGAAGGCGAACACGGCCGCAGGTGTGGAGGGCCGGACCACGCCTGCTCGGGGCCGCCAAGCACGCCCTCATTCGACATTGCTGTCCTCTGCTCACCCTGTGGAGGCGGCACGTTAGTGTCATCCGGTATCAGCCGTATGGCATCTCACCCGCAGATGTTGGCCACCAGGATACAGCAAGTATAGGCTGGTAGGGGGCATCGTCAGGCCTTGAACCCACGCCTCCCCTCCGCCTCCCCCTCGCCAAGGGCGTCATGGCAGGTGTGAGTAACAGGCCCGCAGACTGTTCCTTCTCTGTTCGGGTCGCTTCTGTCTGACACACACACCCTTGGCCCTGAACTCCTTTAGCCGTCACCCCCTTCAAATCTTTTTTTTTTTTTTTTTTGCGGTACGCGGGCCTCTCACTGTTGTGGCCTCTCCCGTTGCGGAGCACAGACTCCGGACACGCAGGCTCAGCAGCCATGGCTCACGGGCCCAGCCGCTCCGCGGCATGTGGGATCTTCCCGGACCGGGGCACGAACCCAGGTCCCCTGCATTGGCAGGCGGACTCTCAACCACTGCGCCACCAGGGAAGCCCCCCTTCAAATCTTTCAGCCAAATTTTAAAAATTTTTATAAATGTAACACATGGCTAAGAAAAAAACATAAGCCATTAGAATGAATGGAGCTCCGTGAGAGGATCTCTCTGAGGGATGAATTTCCTGCCACCCCAATCCCACACCTCGGAGAGAACCACCGATCATTTTTCTAAGGCCACACAAGAGTCCTCGAAGCGAACTCAGGCGTACTGTGCGTAGTTTTGCAGGTCGGGTCGTACTATTTGTTTTTTGCAGACGTTTTCACAAAAACACTATCACTGTTCTTTAGACGTGAGTTCTTCTTAATGACTGCCTTGTGTTGCATTATATAAATAACCATCATCTAATCAGTACCAGCTGATGGACATTGAGGCCAAGATTTTGCCATTACAAACATTGCTGCAGAAGAGCCTGCGGGCAGGTCTGTCCTTACGCCCTTGTGAAGTAGAATTGTAGGATGAGTTCTTAGCAGAAGAATACTGAGTCAGAGGGCTATGGTCTGTAAACGTTCTGTACAGACTGTAAAACTGTCACCCAGAGTAAACCGATTACATTCCTGCCCACTGAGCGTGAGTCTGTCTTCTCAGCATCTCACTGCTTTAATTTGTGCGCCTCTGAGTGCAGGTGAGCGTAACTTCGTGTTCAGCGGCTGTTTGTTCTGTGAACTGTGTGTTTACCTCCTCGAAGGAATAATCTGTTTATTGTCCCGCTTCCTCACTTCTTACGCACTCAGCCCGGGGCAGCCTGACTTCTGTCCCTGCCACACCATCTGTGGAGCTCTGTGCCGGGTGCTTGATGATCTCCTTTAATCTTCCCAGGACCAGTGAGGGGGGATAGCGCCCCATTTCACAGAGGAGGCTCAGGAGATCACACTGCTAGGGAGAGACAGCAGTACGTCCAACTCCAAGCCTCCGTTTCTTGCCACTGTCACATGCTGTGTCCACTGCAAATGCTCTTTTCAAGGTAACCGATGACCTAATTGCCCTTTTCTCTCTCCGTCTCGGACATTCAACGTTAAAGAAAACCTTCTAAATTACTTTGGCTTTCGTGACAGGTATATCAGCTAGAAAGTTTGGGTTGCAAATATCAGAAACTCTCCAAGCTGGTTAAACAATAAAGGAAATGTGTTGCTTTCCAAGCTGAAAGGTGGCCCAGCTTGGCCCTGGACACCTTGATGTCACCAGCAGCTTAATTTCTTTCCTCCTTTGGAGGCTCCATCCTAAATTTTACTCTCCTTGAGGAGTTCTACCATACTCTCTTTCAAGGATAAAATGCTGAGGAAGGCTAGGCAGACTTTTAGGAGGGTAATGCCTCTGGTGGGTGGGTGGGTTTTCTTGCAGAGATTAGGGAAGAAAATTGGACTTTCCCGAAAATGTTTCCAACCAGCGCATGTGTGTTCAGGTTTCATTGTGTACTTGAAGGAAGATTATTTCAACGATCTGGGTGGATTTTTACTTCTGGCCTCTATTCCTTTCTGTACATGGTCTCCTCTTTCTCTTTATAGAAAATTAAGTCCAAAGCCTGCTCACACGAGTTCACACCAGCCCCTGGGATCAGGAGACTCTGAGGCCGGACAGCAAGTTACACAGTTACACCTGGTCACCTCTCCATTCGTTGCATGGCCCCGCTGAAAAAAAGCACGCTTAATTTTCAGGAAAATCGTAGATGATAAAAACTAAAATAGTGCAAGATAATTGTTTTTTTACTCCCTATTTCTTTTGAGGCTTTCCTCCCTCCCTCCCTCCCCTTCCATCCT